CGATCCGCCAGCCCCGCCCCCCCACATCGGGGGCTCTGCTTCAGCCTCCAGATGTTGGGACCCCACCAAGCCCCATCCAGATGTTGGGGCTCCACCAAGCCCTTTATTCCCACCCTGGGGGCTCTAGTTCATCCCTCCAGATGTTGGGGCTCCACCAAGCCCCATCCAGATGTTGGGGCTCCACCAAGCCCCTTATTCTCACCCTGAGGGCTCTAGTTCATCCCTCCAGATGTTGGGGCTCCACCAAGCCCCATCCAGATGTTGGGACACCACCCATCTCCCCCCCAGTCCCATATTAGGGGCTTTATTTCACCCCTCCAGATGTTGGGGCTCCACCAAGCCCCCCTATTCCCACACTGGGGGCTCTCCAGCAGCACAGCCAGGAATGAGGCCGGTCCTTGCAGGAAGCGAACCAGGCAAGAACTCAGCAAATCCCGGGCAAATGGGGCACTGCCGAGATCCAGGATTTATTTACAGGTCACGGAACGAGCACCTTCGCCCAGAGTCACATATGAGAAGGAAATAAAAACGAAAAAAAAAAGGGCTTTGCCTCCTGAACATAAATCTCACTCTCGCCAGAGCATTCGGTTCCTTCGAGGACAACCGAGCGATTCGCTCGTCCTTAGCAAGGCTCTTGTGAAGAGAAACTAAAGGCATTGCCTTAACGGCCATGGCCTGTGGAAGAACACCTCAAAATAAAGACATCCTTGGCAGACGGACCTGCCAATGCGACCGTTTTCCATGCGGAGCTCCGGAAAGGGCAGCTAATACTCGTCGAGGGTGTCGGCGCGCGGCACGGCGAGGCCGCGCGCCTTCAGCGCCTGCACTTTGAGCTTCTCCGACTCGTGCTTGGCCTGCTGCTCCAGCCGCTGCTCCTCCAGGATCTCCTCGATGGAGACCTGCTGCAGCGGGGTGTCGCTCTCCTTCTCCAGGTCCTGTGAGGGACACGGGAAGGGGACGCTACGGCCCGCAGGGTCACGGCTCCCAACGTGGCTCGGGGTGACCTCCGCGGCTCATCTTGGTGTTTTGTCCCATTTTGCCCCATTCCCGCAGGTTGCCCGAGCAACTGCAGGGCCTCTATGGATCCCCTATGGAGCCCATAGGGCCCTACGGACCCCTCTGTGGCACCTATGGACCCTATAGACCCCCTGTAGCTCTTATGGATCCCATGGACACCCTCATATGGAGGGTTCATATGGAGGCCACAGGAAGCCTGTGGATCCCTCCATGGTGCCTATGGACCTCTATAGTCCCCATGGCGCCTATGGGCCCCTATAGTCCCTATGGACCTCATAGACACCTGATAGCCCCTATGGAGTCACAGGAATCCTATGGATCCCCCTGTGACACCTATGGATCCCATGGACCCCCTATAGCCCCTATAGACCTCATAGACACCTGATAGCCCCTATGGAGCCCATAAGGGTTCTGTGGACCCCCCTGAGACACCTATGGACCCCCTATAGCTCCTATGAACCCCACAGACCCCTGATAACCCCTATGGATACCAAAGGAACCCTGCAGATCTCCCTCCTGTGGCACCTATAGACCTTAAGGACCTCCTAGAGCTCCTACAGACCCCCTATAGCTCCTCTGGAGCCCACGGACCCCCACGAGCCCCTATGGGCCCCCTTGGCACCCCATAAACGCCCTGTGGCCCCCGTGGCCCCCGCAGCTCCGCTCGGCCGCGCACTCACGATCTCTCCGAGCAGGACGACGTTCTCGCCCCGCACCACGAAGATGCCCCGCGGGATGTCTCCATACTTGGCGCCCACGTGGATGCGCTCCACGGTCTGGTGCAGCACCAGGTTGGCTGCGGGGGAGGCGGGCCCGGTTCGGGGAGGGGGCTCCGGGACGGCCCAACCGGAGCCCCGGGACCGGGATGAGGGGAGTGGGAACGGTTCCGGGGCACCTACCGAACTGGTCGATGCTGCGCAGGAAGCCGATGAGCGGCCGGCAGTCGGG